AGCAGTAGATGGGGAGAAAGAGGAGTTGGAGGAGAATGAAGGGCGAGGAGGAGGAGGGGAGGGGAGGAGGAGCAACAGATGGGGGAGGAAGAGGAGGAGGAAGGAGCAGCTGGAGGAGAATGAAGGGGGAGGAGCAGGAGGAGGAGAAGAAGAAGAAGAAGTGGTAAGGGGAAGGAAAAGGAAGAATAGGATTGGGAAAGAAAGGGGAAGAAAGAGAAAAAGGAAGAGAAGAAGAGGAAGACAAGAAAGAAGACGGAGAACATAGAGAAGTTGAGGAGAAGAAGGAGGAAGAGAGGGTGAAGAAAAGAAAGGAATTTTTAGAGGGAGACAATTGAACGCCAATGAGGAGGAGGGAATGGAGGAAAGAAAATGAAGGAGAATAGAAGAGGGGCCGTTAAGAGAGGAATCTGACAGGGCAATACTTTCTAAGGGAGAAGGAAGGAGAAAGAGGAAGGGGAGAGGAAGAGAAGACGCTTGAAGGAAGTGAACAAAGGAAGTTTATAAACGTGTGTGTGTGTGTGTGTGTGTGCGTGTGTGTGTGTGTAATGCTATGAAGGGAAGTAATAGGAAGTGGGAGATATGGGACAAAAATTGAAGTATAAACTTTTTCTTAACTATCATTAAGCTGAAAAAAACAAATGACATTTTTTTTTCTTTCTTGCTTTCTTCAGAAATTATATTGACAACATTGTTCTTAACCTTTCAGAAAAAAATCAATTATATGTACTGCAAAGGCTCTATAGAACGATGATAGAGATTTTTTTCATATATATCATAAGCTTCGCGATATCTGTGGTCTATCATTAATACCATTATTATGATCATTGTATCAATTCCCTTATTGCAGCAACATCGCCTCATTTCCATAATTTATCCAAAAAAAAAAAAAAAAATAGAGAATTAGGCTGGGGTTAGAGGGGGGGGGATCACTCAAACCAAAGCATACAATAGTCATATTTTATTATCATCCATAAGTTCAACTGCTTACAAGACGTGAAACAAAGATTCTCGCTTGACTAGATCTAGGTAGGCGCGTCTCACCTGTGGCATTGTGCTTGCTAATGACCCGGTGACGCCAATTTAGGCCCAAGTCTCATCCAGTTTCGAATCTCTCCTGCTTTGTTCTATTCGAAACAGGAAGGACTTGCCAGGATATCTTGTTTACACCCAGAGAAGCTTGAGACGTTTCGCAAGAAAAGTCAACGTAAAGCCTTATTGCTAAGAAACAAATAATACAAAACCGCTTGTTTTTTATGATTTAAGAAAAGAAAAGAAAAGAAAAAAAAAACAGCGGGAGGACGTAAAATTGTTGACGTGATTAAAATTAAGTACACTGGAGTTTTTTCAAGGTGTTTTCACTTCAATTGCACTTCACAGTCGATCAACATTTAGGAATGGAATATTTGACGTAGATTTGAAGATTTTTCAAATTATAATACTCAAAATCAAGATAAAATGTCAACAAAGAGAAAGTCTGTGAAATGCAGTTAAATGAAAACTAAACTTTACGTCCAATATGATTATTTTGGCCACATAAGAGGTATCATGATTGTTCACACGGGTAAATAATCTGCATTAATTACCCGATTTATGGCAAGACTTCATCACACATTCATACGTTTTTCTCTCTCTCTTTCTCTCTCTCTTCTTCTTTTTTCATTCTCTCTCTCTCTCTCTCTCTCTCTTTCTCTCTTCTCTCTCTCTCTCTCTCTCTCTCTCTCTCTCTCTCTCTCTCTCTCTCTCTCTCTCTCTCTCTCTCTCTCTCTCTCTCTCTCTCTCTCTCTCTCTCTCTCTCTCTCTCTCTCTCTCTCTCTCTCTCTCTCTCTCTCTCTCTCTCTCTCTCTCTCTCTCTCTCTCTCTCTCTCTCTCTCTCTCTCTCTCTCTCTCTCTCTCTCTCTCTCTCTCTCTCTCTCTCTCTCTCTCTCTCTCTCTCTCTCTCTCTCTCTCTCTCTTTATTTCCCTTTCTTAAAATAGCGAGCATCTCTCACCGAAGTAAGACATTTCGACGGTTCCTTACAAGGCCTGTCTACTTATTATCTACCCATCGACCTTTCAATATCTACTCATCACGACCTACGCTACAAGTACATAAGTAAATCAAATACACACACGCTGTTTTCCATGTGTCTGTCTACTTCGGAAGGGACAGAGACAAGGGGTTGCAATTCCTTGGTTATCTAAGTCCGTTGTAATTTGCGAAATTCGTTAAAATCACTAAACTTTCACGTAATGTATCCACTTCGTTAAGATCATGAACTTTTACGAAATGTATCCACTTCGTTAAAATCCTAAACTTTTACGAAATGTATCATCCACTTCGTTAAAATCCTAAACTTTTACGAAATGTATCATCCACTTCGTTAAAATCATGAACTTTTACGAACTGTATCCACTTCGTTAAAATCATGAACTATTTTACGAAATGTATCCACTTCGCTAAAATCATGAACTTTCGTCCGAGTGAAGGGATGGGAATGAACCCCTTGTCTCATCTCTATCCATAGTTTTTTCTCTCTCTTTCTCTGACCAAACTCTCAAAATATACAGATAACAAGAACAAATTTGTACAATAACAACCTCTCAATAATAGCTGTTCTGACGCCCATTTGAAGGCAGAGGAAATGTAATAACTAAAAGATACAGTTCCAGCCATGATTTTGAAAGACACTCCTTTATGATAAAGATGTTTGTTTTACACTTGTCTAGGCTGTCTTAACGAAAAAAAAATATCGAAAATAACACAAAAATACAACACAGGCTTCCACAGCTATACATATTGAGGGCGGGCGCTCATACATGCGTAATAAAAAATCAATAAATACATCTTAAATGTGATACGATAAGATCAAATAGGCAAGCCAATTGGAATGAATAAGTACATAGCAAAATTAAAAGGGTTTGGGACCGCGACCTCTGTTGCATGATGAGCTCTGGTGGGCTGACTCGGCGGCTGTTGCTCGGTGCAATTGCAGACCAGGAACCAGAGACGAAAAGAACTTCGTCGAGACCTTCTTTATTTGGAGAATTCCCTGAATCGTCTGTGGAAACAGCTGGACAGCTTGTACCAGAAGGAGGGCCGCTGCCGGGCTGTGTCTGGGCCGTTGTCAAGTATCCTCAACGTTTCGGTTCTTTGCCTGCAAGGAAAAGAAATGGGGAAATGTTAGTTGTAACTGATACTATTGTTTACTTTTGTTTGTGTTCTTATGTACTAAATCATTATATGACGTACATCCGAGCCTAAAAATGGTTTGATGTTGTGACTCCCCCGCCCTCGTACATCAAAGTCTCCGAAAGTGGAATCAATCTGTGCAGCGAAAGAGCTATTAGATTACGAGAATTCCCCCGCTTGAAAATGGAGTAAGATCAGCCCTTTTCCCGCCGTGTTTATCGACCAAGACGTCTACGAGTCGAGGTTTTGTGTATCGGCCGAGGTGGAGCACAATTATTTATGGGTTTTGACACTGAGTCAACAACTCGCGTAACCCAACCCGGCGGACGGCACACGGCGGACGTCTCCCTCCTCGATCTTCTGTCAGGACGCCGCGCCGACGCCCTCTATTCCGCATGGGATCTCTCGTCTTTCGGTTACCCAAAAACTCCATTTTTATCTTAATCGTTATGCTAGGGAAGCTATTAAATCATATCACTCGTATCACTCGACCAGATTCGGCCACTTCGCTTCCCTTCGGCCCACCAACAGAGCTCGCGCCTCAACATGACGTAACTTTACCCTCGTTCTCTGCGAAGTTTACAACAGAACAAGACCCGCGACTCCTCCACTAGGCCTACAACATGACCTGCGACACTGCCCAAGGGATTAATATTTTCCCCCCTTCACCGCACTCACGCTCCAGTTGTATATGACCTTGCTTACATTTTTTCCCTCGTCCTTACTCCCGAGCCCACACTGTCCCCTTCACTTTTGTTTTTGTTTTTGTTTTTTCTTCGCTGGAGGACGTCTACTTAATTTACATTGTTTTTATTCTGATCTTTGACCGACCGGAGAATGAAACCTTCAATCATGATGCCAAATTTTCCAAACAGCTACAGCCTGTTTAATAATGATAATAATCTAAATCAATGGAAGTGTATCTTTTTTGTATTTTACTTCATTCTTTTCTCCCCTCGCCTTCCTCTCCTCCCCTCGCCCCTCAGGTCAGAGTTCACCGGGATGGGGTTACCAGTAGAGGCCAAAATACGATACGTCATGTGGGTATCCTTCAGACCTGTCCCGACCCCATGTTGTCCTTCACTTGTTTATAAATACTTCCCGATGATTTACATTCTCTCTTTTTTTACGACTTTTACTCTATTTTTTATCCATCTTACGTCACCGAGGAAGAGAGAAAAGGAGAGAAAACGAGTCAATTGATTTTGGAAACGCAAAGAACTAGAGGGACCAGGAACTCACCTCAAGTAGTCGAAGAGGTAAAATCCCAGCAAAGTGAGTCGCTGACGGCTGACGGCTCTCTCCATGCTGACTGCTGACGACGCTGCTGACGCTGGTGGAGCTGTGGGCGTGGGCGGGAGGTGGGTACGGGGCATCAGAGGGCTGGGCACGAGCTCCGCCACATGGGTCTTCGTGGATCGTGCAGGCGGGCGGGCGCAGGTGACACACCGCGCTCAGGATGCACAAGGATGACGAGGAGGAGGAAGCAGCGAGGACGAGGAGGAGGAAGCAGTGAGGACGAGGAGGAGGAAGCATGAGGAGGAGGAAGCAGTGAGGAGGGAGTGAGGACGAGGAGGAGGACGAGGAGGAGGAAGCAGCGAGGACGAGGAGGAGGAAGCAGCGAGGACGAGGAGGAGGAAGCAGCGAGGACGAGGAACGAGAGGAGGAGGAAAGCAGGAGGACGAGACGAGGGAGCGAGGAGGAGAGGAAAGCAGGCGAGGACGAGGAGGAGGAAGCAGTGAGGACGAGGAGGAGGAAGCAGCGAGGACGAGGAGGAGAAGCAGCGAGGGAGGAGGAAGCAGCGAGGACGAGGAGGAGGAAGCAGCGAGGACGAGGAAGATGTGAGGACGAGGAGGAGGAAGCAGTGAGGACGAGGAGGAGGAGCAGCGAGGACGAGGAGGAGGAAGCAGCGAGGAGCGAGGAGAGGAGGAAGCAGTGAGGACGCAGCCAGGTATCGGTGGCGCGAGTGTGGTCCCGCTCATTTGAACTCTGGTATCGATTCGTTCTGGAATGTTCTGTCTTCGGTGGGGATCGTGAATCTAAACCTACGATTGCTTATATACATCAGGAACAGGGGCTGTAAAGAAACGTATTTCTCTACAGCTTTTCGTTTTCTCTTTTTTTTTTCTCTCTTTCTATCTCTCGTAAGGTATCTTAGATATTTTCTTATGGTACAAACAACACAAGTCCGGTTGCTGAGGCTATAAACCTTAATTGATCTTAAGGCGACATACAACTTCTTTTAACGTTCATCTTGGCTCGGTATTTCATCATTAACCTCTTGAGATATAATAGTTCTTATCGCATTTAACTCTTTCACACAGAGGGAATACGTCTCTTGCCGCCCTCTCCTTCCTTCAGAGGACGTGGTGGGCGTGTCTACTTCTTCAGCTCCTGCGCCCACACCTCTTGGGGCCAGCCCGTACGCCCACGTTTGGTCTCGGGGCTGGTGGAGATGGGGGCGGGCGCGACGGCGGTGGCGACCTGTGGGAGAGGAGAAAACGTATTTAGAAAAAAAAAACTTGGAATTAAGGAAAATATATTTCGAAAAATAATAATTAAGAAAAAAACGTAATTAAGAAAATATATTTAGAAAATAATGATTAAAAAAGCATATTTAGAAAAAAAACAGTAATTAAGAAAATATATTTAGAAAAATAATAATTAAGAGAGCATATTTAGAAGAAAAAAAAAGTAATTAGAAACGCATGTAGAATAAACTAGTAATTTAGAAAACACATTTATAAAGAAAACTAGTAATTAAAACAGGCATTTGGAAGAAATTAATGATTAAGGAAACATAAAAAAACAATAAGCAATTAATGCGACTCCTTGTCAAAACTTTGTATATAATAACCGTTAAAGAATTAGAAAAGATATGTTACAGGTTTATAAATGAATTTTCGTTCAGAATAGCCATAATCGGACTTGAAAAGATGCGATTAGAGATTTATAAACGGTTAGTTGGACAGCAAACAAATGGCGTGTAAGAATGAGGTCGAAAGCGCAGAGATAAGGCTGAGATATGTGGCTTGAGCATCCTGTGGTGTCCTGCGGCGAGCGTGCGGCGGCGGCGACGCGTCCCGGAACTGACGCAACGCTGCCCCGTGGAAGACGAAGTGACGTCACTCGTGCAATCACCGATGCCTGTTATCGCGGGAGAACACGGCTAATGCGCGGGTCAGCAAATGCGACAATAAAGTGATTGGTAAGAGAAAGGATTTTTTTTTCTTTTTTTATGGCTTCGGAGAGGAAATAGTTGAAGAATTGCGAAATTCGCGCCTCGCGACGACGCCGCCCGCCGCGCACGCCCTCGCCCTCCATCACTGTCATTTCCACGGGGACATTTACGGGTAATCCTCTGACGAAACGGGAAAAATCCACAGACGAAGAACAAAGGCACGATGGAGACGCCCACGTGACGTACGACAACAAGCCATGACGTCACAACCTGTCTGGCAGGTATGTAAACAGCGGGTTCCCTCGGGCGCTGCTCCTTCTGGAAATATGAGAGTGCAATTTCGACTCTCCAATTTCCCTTTCATTCTATCTCTCTTTTTTTACGGGAGTAGAATAGAGGACTGGACACACACGTAGAGAAAATAACGAGGCGGAATTCCTTTCAGCGATAATACACTGTATTACGGAGAGAGAGAGAGAGAGAGAGGAAGATACACACAAAAAAAAACAATCCATTTGTGGAATTAAGATGAAGAGAGGGAGAGGCGAGATCGTGACGTCGGGAAGGAAGCCTCGCAACCGGCTCGCCTTGATTGGAATGCCGAGAGGGAGGTCGAGGTTTCCGGCCAAGGAAGCTGCACGCGCTCTGGCCGGCCGCCTCTCCCAGGAAGTTCAAGTGGAGGATTCCAGGGGGGGAGGAGGGGGATTTAGAGAGAGAAGAGAGAAGAGAGAGAGAGAGAGAGAGAAGAGAAAGAGAGAGAGAGAGAGAAGAGAGAGAGAGAAGAGAGAGAGAAGAGAGAGAGAGAGAGAGAGAGAGAGAGAGAGATATATATATATATATATATATATATATATAGAGAGAGAGAGAGAGAGAGAGAGAGAGAGAGAGAGAGAGAGAGAGAGAGAGAGAGAGAGAGAGAGAGAGAGAGAGAGAGAGAGAGAGAAGATAAGAGATGAGAGAGAGAAGAGAAAGAGAGAGAAGATCCCCAGGGGCAATTGCATTGTTGTCTCGTCCCTGCATAATGTCGGTCAGGGACAGATTTGCACTGGGCAGATTCACAGAGGGAAAAGCAATGAAACGAACACATCCTGCGTTTTCTGTGAGGTTTTCGCCAACCGACATGGAAATTGTTTAACATAAATAAGGGGATAACTTATCTAAAATGACGACTATGGTATTTTACCAATCGATATCAAGAAGCTCCTGGCTATTGTAAATATTAATTTCGCAACTTGATCATCACTCAGCATTGTTATCCGATGAATAACTATAACAATAACCAACAATAACGCTTTCGTATCCGCATGAAAAGAACACACACACAAAAAAAAACGAGATACGAAATACACAAAACGCAAGAAGCAAGAAGAACAGAAGAACAGTGACTCGCCGCAGCACAAGGAAGAACAACCCAAGCAGAGAGAACGAGACGGCCATGAGGTAAAGATGAGAAAGAACAAATAAGAACAACTGAACGTCCGAGAGGTGGCGCACAGTAGCCGAGTCTCGTGAACCCGCCGCAGCAGACACCCTAATTATGAGGACCGGTGGGAGGGTGCTGGAGAAGGGAGGGTGGAGGGAGGGAGGAGGGCAGGAAGGGGGGGGGTGGTAAGGGTGAAATAAAAGTGTTGGAGAAGAGAGGGTGGAGGGAGGGAGGAGGGCAGGAAGGGGGGAGGGGGTGGTAAGGGTGAAATAAAAGTGTTGGAAGAAGGGGAAGGGAGGAGGGCAGGAAGGGGGGGGTAAGGGTGAATAAAAGTGTTGGAGAAAGGGAGGGAGGAGGGCAGGAGGGGGGGTAAGGGTGAAATAAAAGTGTTGGAGAAGGGAGGGAGGAGGGCAGGAAGGATGGGGGGAGTAAGGGTGGGGTATTGAAGGGTGAAATAAAAGTGTTGGAGAAGGGAGGGAGGAGGGAAGGAAGGGGGGAGTGGTAAGGGGAAAGAAGGGTGCTGGAAAAGGAAGAGGGGGAGGAAAGGGGGTGGTAAGGGTGAAATAAAAGTGTTGGAGAAGGGAGGAGGGTAGAAACGGGTTGGGGGTGGTGGTAAGGGTGGGGATATTGGAGGGTGAAATAAAAGTGCTGGAGAAGGAAGGGAAGGGGGGGTAAGGGTGAGGGTACTGGAGGGTGAAATAAAAGTGTTGGAGAAGGGGTGAGGGCAGGAAGGGGGATAGTAAGGGTGAGAGCAGTGAAGGGTGAAAGAAAGGTGTTGGAGAAATGAGGGTGAAGGGAGAGAGGAGGGAAGGAAAGGGGGATAGTAAGGGTGAAATAAAAGTGCTGGAGAAAGAAGGGTGAAGGAGGAGAGCAAGGAGGGGGAGGGTAGTGGAGGGGCAAAGGAAATGATGCTAGAGAATGTGAAAGCACTAGAAGAGAGTGATAGAAATTGAGGATAAAGGAAAAGCAAGAAAAAAAAGGGTGAATAGAGGGAGAGGGTATTTATGAGGGTGGAAAATAGGAAGGAAGGAGGAATGGGCACAGTGAGTGAGGAAAGTTCTAAACAACGAAGAGAAAAAGAAAAATCGAAGACAAAATATTGAGTAAAAAAAAAAGAAAAGAAAAAAAAGAAAAATGATAAACTAAAACAGATAAAAATAATAAATATAATAAAGAAAACTCGATTATTTCGGGTCAGTCTATTTGGAATTAAGAAAAAAAAAGTTTATTAAAGAATGTGTTATTATTGGAATAGCACCGACATCAATATTTACAGCAACAGAAAACGGACATCAGACTCTTCAAAGAAAATGGGAATTTCTCCAGGATAATGACACGTTGAAAAGCAAAATAGGAAAATAAATGAAGATCAAAGAAATACGAATTTCAGGTCCACTGGCGATACTAAATGCCGGTCACTTGAAAGAAATTGGTCGGAGAGAAAATCAACTTAATAAGGAAATCGCAAGAAATATCGATAAAGAGGAGGAGCGAAGATGAAAAGAGAGAGAGAAAAAAAAACTCATTTCACATTATTAAAGGAAATATCTTCGCGGGGAATTTATATACAATTGCGGTTACGGGAAATGACCTTGGCTCCGAGCATTCCCGGAGATGACTTCCGGTCACAGGTGAAGGAAATGCGTGTGTCAACGACTCATGGCGGCCTAACTCTCCGAACCGCCGCTAGAGGGCATTGAGGGCGGGGGGGGGGGGGGGGAGGGCAGAGAGGCTCGTGTATTTCATAATATCATCAAGATGTTTCCTTTTTCTTCTTCTTCTTTGAATTTTTTCCTTTTTTTTAACTCTTTTCCTCTTTTTTGTTATCATTTTTTTGGTTATTTCTTCCTTTGTTTAAGAGAAAATTACATCTTTTCTTTTTGGCGGGAATGTGTGCGTGCGTAGGTGCGTCAGGAACACCAGTGACGCAAAGACCACAAGGCCAAAGGTACTTCTCGGAAAGACAAGGTCGCAGAGGTGTGGAATATGCTAATGAGACCATGTGTAACTCTCGGCGCCGCGCTGTCTGATCGCTCAACGTCGACGGCCAGGTAGAAAGAAAGAAAGAAAAAAAAATAGGAAGAAAATAAATGAAAGAAAATAGTAAATACGGATAACGTAATTATGAAAGGGTAAGAGAGATGAGGAAGAGGACAGACATAATAGAAAATATTAAAATTGATAATAATAATAATAAATAAAACTAAATAACAAGATCAGAAAAAATAATGAAAACAACAAAAATCGCGTTTGTATACGAGACAAAAACCCGCATTAACATCAAAGTTATCCTATGAAAATAACTTCAATAATAACAATTCCATTTTATACGTTCCCGATAATGAAATGTTCCACGGTCACCAATTCGATAATGTCATATTCTTAGAGCTTATATCACTCCTCTTTCCCCTCCCTCTTCTCACTCTCCTCCCTCACGTCTTCTTTCCTTCCCCCTCCCTCCCACTACCCTCCCCGCTTCTTCCTCACCTCCCCTTCCCTTCCTCCTCTCCTTCCCTTCCTTTTCCCTACCTTCCCTCCTCGCGTCCCTCCCTGCCTTCCCTTCCCTATCCTTTACCCCCCCTTTCCCCTCCGCCTCCCGCCTTCCTCTCCTCCCCTCCTCCCCTTCCCTCCACTGCTTTCCTTCCCTCCCTCCCTCAGACGCCTCGTGAACTCCCCTCCCATCCCGCCTCACTAATAAACGCCTGTCATTGCCCTGTCATTATCCGCTTTTTGTTTGACATCGTGTTTCTTTCGGGTCTCAATTCTTTTTTTCTTTTTCTTTTTTGATGGTGTTATTCGTTCTGTTTCTTTCTTTATTTATTTGGTTCTCTCTTCTCTATCTTTGTTTTGTTTTCTGTCCTTTCTTTCATTTTCTTTTCT